ATGTATATGTATATGTATATGTATATGTATATGTATATGTATGTGTCTTCGCTGTTAGACTCGTTATGCAAGGCAAGAAATCATTATCCGAGTACATCATCCGGGCATCGTATACGTTTTCGGTAAAGACTAATGCCAATGTTAGCGATAGTGCTTGTGATTATAGAAATGCCTGGCACTAAAGCTTGCCTGGAACGAAGTGCGAGAACGCACGCCGTTACTTGTGACATAGCCTATTAGCTAAAACGTTATTCTGCTGCTTGATAACACCCACTGTTCACAGAACCATATTTCACTAATAATGTAATGTATATCAATAAACTAATATACTAATATATACTAATATATATAATGCAGAGAGACATATAATACAAGATTGCGTGGCACAGCTTTGCTGTTGATCCTGAGCGCTGCGCGCGGATGAGACGCGCAGTTCTGCGGGATATGCGCACGCGGATTATATGTGATATCAGAGGCTGCCTGCATAAACCAGTGCGGCCGAATCTTTCCAGAAAGTCAATGAGCTCAACCATAACACTATATGCTCAAAAAGATTTCAGCGTGGGGTCTGATGTGAGATAAAACATTCCTAGGATAGGCACTACTACACTCCACACTTGCTCTATTGGCTAGACTGTGGTGATGGACTTATGGCAACATTAGGAATGCAATCACAGTAAGGCGTTGACGCTTAAGCGTCAAGTCTACGTGTAATTATCTGTGCGCAAGAAAACAAGAGGTATTGCTTCTCCCGGACGAGGTAAAAACGGCAAACTAGCAAACGTACGCAAAAATCATGGCTATATATACACGGCTGACCGCAGGCAAGACGACGTACGTGTCTACACCTCTGTGCCAGAAGCAAACCCATCCGTCTGACTGTACTCATGCGCAAGCTATAAATACGTACCATGTTTGTCCGTGATACGGAAATGTATAGAAGAGAAGAAAGCCAAAGAGAAGCTATTTTTCTCTTACGATATCGCGTGCAACCAACTACATTTGAGCCGAGCGAAATCCCAGGTGTACACCCACGCTCATGGTTCGTAGCGCCACGGACTACTAAAAGAGTAACGCGTTCAAGCGAAAGTAACGAAAATGTGTGCGTGTATTCGCGAGCGTGCCTTCGAATGCGTGTGCGTGCATGCGTGCGTGTGTGCTCGCCCGCAGCGCATGTGTTTGCGTGTATTGGGGTGCGCGTCTGTGCTCGTGTGCGCGTGCATGCGTGTGCGCGTGTGCGCCCATGCATGCGTGTGTGTGTGTGCGGGTGTTCGTGCGTACGTGAATTCGTCATACCTTTTCGCTAAGTGCGGCGGACATGGCCACGATGATGAGGATATTAAACACGGCCGACCTGCAATAAAACAAATGTTGAGAGTATTAACACTTTATACGCATCACAACATTACGTTTACCTTACGAGATCTGAAGCGAAAATTGAGGAAGCGCAAAAGTATCTGAAATACTTGCGAACCTTCGCACAATGCTAAAAACACCGAAAGCACACTGTTTTGGCAAGGTCGTATACATCTCGTGTACATCAATATTTTGTCGGTTGCATGATCGCATAGAACATTTATGCTATCAAGAGAATTACTAGACACGATATGCACATTTTGGTTAGGTACATTTCTGTTTGACATACAACAGTTACGCATCGTCAAAAAGTGATGCACCTGGTATGCGCTCATTTAACGCACGCAGGGTGTTTCGTATGCGCGAATATCCTGAATGCGTAACGTGTATAAACCCTCGAATTCACATGAGTCGAAATGATCACATGAAGAAAACTCCAACACAGCGTTTTCTTCGCGGAGCCTCGTGATTTTTACACATCTATTGGATTAAGAGTACGCGAGCCGAGTAGGTGCGTTCGCTGTGTGGCACTGTCGAGTCACAGGAGTTTTTACATGGCGAATAGAAACGTGCCTGAACTGAAAATTGTATATCGAATAATGGCGTATCATTGCAAAACACATTTAAGTTAAACATTCTATTTTGAAGCCGGTTAATTCTGTTAGAATCTTAACAAGCTAACTCTTAGCTAACCAACCCTACCTTTCTTTAGCTGAATTAGGAAAATAGCATCATTTTGGTACAGGGATCCTAATAATTGGCTTGCGGAATTCGTATCAAAATTATACCTACCTTGTGTTTGCATCCGCAATGATGTGACTAAACGCTGAACTAACCGAGTACAGTGTGCTAGAAATCGGCTGCAGAGTCAGCTAATTGGATACCATGGATTTCTTGTTCTTTAATTAGTTAGACCCGATATTGATATTATCCCCCTTCTTAAGCACTTGGTGAATTCTTTACTTTACATGCATTTTATTTAATATAAATTAACGTTCATAACTAATATAATAAAAATTAATATATAATGTTTGCAACTTCGCACAAAATGACCTTGCTTTGAACATCTGAATGATTTTGGTTGGCACACAACTGATCTCGACTATGTTGTGCACATTAGTTCCGACTGATGAATGGTCATGCTGCCATGGCAACCACTTTGTATATATATATATATACACACAACATTATATATTATATATATATATATATATATATATATATATATATATATATATATATATATATAGAGAGAGAGAGAGAGAGAGGAGGGAGAGAGAGAGAGAGGAGAGAAAAGAGAGAGAGAGAGACCGATGACGGAGAAAAATTAGAGAGAGAGAAGAAAAGAGAGAAAGAAAAGAAAGAGAGGAGAGAGGACACGAGAGAAGAGAGAGATACGAGGAGAGAAAGAGTATGAGGAGAAGAGAGGAGAGCGAGAGAAGAGAGGAGAGAGAGAGAGAGAGAGAGAGAGAGAGAGAGAGAGAGAGAGAGAGAGGTGAGAAGCACAAACAGAAGCGATGGTTAACTTAAGCAAGTAACCATAAATCATAAATAACACGATGGAAGGCCGTTCGTAATTTGATTGTAACATGACTTCAGGATGCAATCACGTCTAACGAGATAGTGAGAATGGAGCAGACCTGTCATTATTCCTAATGACGACATTATCCTTGCGAACCTACGTAGAATCATTAATCAGCATTGACCCTTAGCAACATGTACTAACATGCTTAGGGCGGGCGACTGTCTAGAGGATATGCGACATCGTAAGACGTTAGAGTAATGTGTGCACGCCTCTAACCGAAGGCTCAACCTTCTTAGTGCGCCCACCGTAGCACCCACCCCTTACCCCACACATACCCCCACTCATCCACCTTTCTCCGATAATTTGTTGTTGTTTTTTAGTTGGATTATTAACGATTAAGTTGGATATGTAGAACGTATTCGTATACCGCTCGCTGCTAATCCGAGAACAACTCGAAGCTAAAACATGCGTCGGTTCGCAATGAAACTTCGGATCCGGATCCAGATCCTGATTCAGTTTTTCTCTTCTTACACTACTACACATTGTTAGTTGAGATAGCAACGGTTATGTGCTCGTAGTGATACATTCAACACACGTGTTATGCGGCCAAAGACCTATCTGAAGCATGTACAGTTGATCTAATGTTTCCCCTTAATTATTCTCTCCCCTCTTTTCTTGGTTTTGCAAGTAAAGATATCTTTTTTTTAAAGATGAGTTTATTTGTCTATTTTCTCGTCGCGTTTCGATAAAAGAACATCCTTCCCTCGTGGTGTTAGTTACCCTGGTCACCACCAACCAAGTCTCGTAGTACCTGGGCCTTACCCAACTATGGTCCCTACTCCGACGTCGCTCTTCACGGACACGCCGACAACGGAGGTGAACAACTCCGGAGCTGACGACCCTGCCGCCATGAAGGTGGCGCCAGCAACATCCTCCGACAGGTCCAGCTTCTCGGAGATGGCCTCCAGAGAAGGCACGAAGAAATCGTCACATATGATCGCCAGAGCTGAAATCAACAACAGTGGAGGCGAAGGTGTAATATACCATGATGACGATGACGACGACGACGATAATATCATCATCATCACCATCACCATCATCATCATCATCAGCATCATCATTATCATCATCATCATCATCATCATGGAAGTAGATGGTATATGGTAGTAAGTTGATAGATGTATGTTGATAGATGCATGTGGTTGGCTGTAGTTAGCGGTAACAAACGAAGCGTGATGGAGATAGGCACCTATGCGTGAATTCAGTTTCCATGCAGATAAACAACATCGATCCTATACAGTGTATATTTTTATTAGCCGCTAGCGCAAGCTACACTTTATTTCCGGAAGGCATTCTTGCCTCCGCCGTTACCCATCATGCGACACGCGAAAGTCTATTATTGTTATTCTAAGCCAACACGCAGGTTTCTCGCGTGAGATGCCATATAATTCCCAATTAAGTAAGCACGAGTTCCCATTACAGCTACATTACAGCACGACCAGTATGCGCGCGTGCGTTGGAAATATATAAGAAGTGCTGTTTTTTTCTATAAATAAATATGGTGACACGCGTTACATTCATTCACTTTGTGTTTTTTTATTGTGAATTGTGCTTCCGGTAACAAATTCGTTGTAGTTGTTATCATATTAGGGAGACTGTTCTTCGCGCACGACTGTGTATAATTTTGTATTGCATTTGAACATTCGTTTTACGTATACTGTTATGAACACCTTTCATGTGGATACTTAATAATTGGCAAATAATTTGTAGTTACATCAGTCGATACCATCTAGATATTGAGTGCCTGAGCGAGTATTATTGAAGCGATAATGTGGATGATATTACGCACCGTATGTGTAAAACCGCATAAATGTGCGCCGCGTTTCTCGGCACACTTCAGGGAAGTTTATAGCAGCATTTATTAAAGTTCGACTACGAGGGATGCTCGTCGTGTACGAGTAAATCCAATTATGATACTCGCGTGCGTTAGTCTCCAGCCGTATTCACACATGCCCGGCGGCTGTCCGATATACACCAGTATGTAGTGGTTGAATCGAAGAGTCCAAATGATCAAGACAATGATTTTCACCTTATTATAGGCAGCTAGGTCCGCCGGCGGAATTTTTTTTTAGCTGCATGCGCGTGCCTTGCTCGACGCGCGGGACATGATAGGAAAATCGCATTCGTGGACGAAATTCGACTTTACGCAGTCTACGTGTATAAATATTGCTCAACGTCGTTCCGTCCTGTGTTGGAAACGTTCGCTCGTGCACATTTCTTTACCCCACCTCCAATTTTCGCTCTATTTTTTACTTCCATCAACGTTATTATCCGCAGCCGCGGAAACAAGACTCGCAGGCGCGCGGGCGTGACGTAGCCATGGCGACAGTGCAGCGTATAAACAGATTTCTCATAGTCGACGTAGGCTTCCTTCACAGCGCTCGAGGCCCACGCGGCATCGCCTCGGGTTCCTCTTGTCCGCACTTGCTAACAGCTCACAGTAGCTGGCAGCGCGCCTCTTTAGCGCATGAGAGATTCTTTTTTCATGCGCGTCGCACGTAACTGCCTCCGTGCATGGCGCACCGGCGTCGGTTCGGTAACAGACAGTGTGTCGGATACCCGTGAGTCATTAACGAGAGGTGAGCGCAAGACACTTTAGTAATGGATTGATTTAAAAAAAAAGATACTACGCAAGTCGCACCCACACTGTGCCAACGCTATTCCTAGTTCTACCTGTGTAGCTCTTCACAACAGCCTGAGGCCGGTCTTGTTGTGGAACGACGGTGTACACGGAGAAGAGCATTGGCAGACCCACAAATGGTGTCTACGGATGGGTGGTAGCAACCCAAGCGAGAGATGCTTTGTGGAATGCGCTGTAAGACGCCTTCCCACTTGGGCTCCACTGCGCATTCGGCTGCTTTGGCAGCAATTCTTAGCCTCTAGTGTAGGGGCTAGACCTCGGAAGCAATAAGTAAACTTGGTGTTAGAAATGCTCGTGAATGACTATTTCGCGTTTAATACGCTCGTTTTCTGGTATTGACTCTTGGAACGGCGAGCCTCGACTTGATGGCCAGCCCTCCTAGATACGCCATTGAGCTAAAGACGATATACTTCGACCGCTGATATTTCATTAAGCTGAGCTTGATAAACATCGGCAGCCCAATTTCAACAAAACTAAAGCGAGAAGCTGACAAAATGCGCGACGAATGCACTGCCAGCGAGTGACTAGACATGTAGTTATTACAGTAAAGCACGCAAAGTGCACGAAACCCTCCTATATGCATTACTCTTCTCCAACTCGTACAGTGATTGCGACGGTGCGCAAAAGCTGAATGCGTAAATTGTGCGTACTCGTCGCCTTTCTATCTTACCACGCTAATTACAAAATGCAATCGTCTTCGCCGTGATTACTCTTGTTCGCTCGCTGCCTCGCCTTCTAGTGGCTTTCACATACAGGTGTGAAGAGTGGCAGCGACAGCGCAGTATCCGTGTAATAGGAGCTGTCAGGCGCCGAAGAAGTGAAATGCTGAAGAAATATAGCGCTCGGCCACGGCCGGAGCGCGTGTTCGGTATACCTAACTCCCACTGTCCAGTGATGATGTACTGACGCGGTTACTTCCCAGTTTCATCCCAACGCTCCCCGCGACACCGCATCCCAGTCTGGCTTCTTTCTTTCTCTTTCTCCAACCCTCTCTTTCTCTCTTTCTCTCTCTTGCTCTTTCTCTCTCTCTCTCTCTCTCTCTCTCTCATTCTTTCTCCTCTTTACTCGATTTGATTCTGTTTTCTATTCGTGGACCAACCACCTTCGCGACCGATCTCTGTATGAGATCTCCCTGGTTACCTATGACTTTCGCGTAACACGAACCACACGTGGCCGTGGTTTCTCCTCAGCTACAAAGAGCCAGCATGTTCTGCTAGCATCTATGATAAATACGACATACGCATATACGCTCTCCTATGACGCTTCCTCTATTCCTATGAAGATTCTTCTTATGACAAATATTGTTGCATGTGTTGTGCGCATCATAGGAGTTTAGGAGCGCTATTATGAACGCAAGCAGTGAATTTCAGCTGTAAATTAGCGGAACGAAGTTGACTCGCCTATATTTGTCATAGGAAGAATCTTCCTATGACAAATAGTGTAATAGGGGAGCGTACATGCGTATGTCGTATTTGTCATAGATGCAAGCAGAACATGTTGACAAAGAGCAGGCGCGCGTACCACCCGGGCCCACGTTAGATCGGTCACCTACCGGCGAGCCAAGAAGCGACAAATTTTCTTTATATTTGTAAATATATATACAGATATTTAACCGTTTGCGCAGCATAACTCGTCACGGCCGCCACACACGCACACACGCGCGCACACTCGTACATCGTAACCTATATAGAGCAATGTTGGAAATGGCACCCCGTCCCGTGGTCTGGGACTGGTAACTTTCGATCAGAGTTGGCTCTTTTTTATGGATTTGGCTTTACGATATGGGTTTAAATAGGGCCCTATATAGCCCTATATAATATTCCATATAGCCCTATATAATACCCTGTACGGTTATATATAGTACCATATACTGTCATATATCGTACCCTATATGGCCTTATATAGTATCTATGCGGAAGATTTAAGTACCCTATACAGCCATATGTAGTACCTTATGCGGCCCTATATAATACCCTACACGGTCCTATATGCAGTACTTTATGAGGCCCTATATAGTGCCATATACGGTCCTATATAGGGTCGCATACGGTACTATATAGGACCTATATAGTTACTATACAGTATAGGTATAGTCTTAGACTGAGACCCGAAATTCTAATAACCTGAGAGACTAAACAGAGTAGCTTTCCTCAGACTAAACAGCCACCCTGCGCACGATACAGTCACTGTTATAGCTATATATACACTTTTAACCTAAATGTTTCCGACCTGATAATAATATCTACAATTTTGCCACGATAGTTATTGCTTTGTAAACCAACATATACTGTCGATCTGCGCTTCTCAAATTAAAGCGTGACTAGAGTTGTATATGTATTTTTACGGGAATTCGTGATCAATACCACCATACCTCTCAAAGAAATCTACGAAGGAAAGGAAAGGCTAAATATCACATAGCCAAGGGGAGTAGCACGACGTTATGAATAGAGACGCCACGTTAGTGACGTCATTCATGATTAGATAGGGAGGAGGGCCTACTACTGTACTATTGCTGCGTTATCATATTAATGCACTAATAACAAAACATATCTAATTCAGCCAGTTGTTGAAAGCTGTGCTATTTCTTCTGACGACACCGGTGAGTGTGTGCGCAGCGCGTGCTTGTGCGCGTGCGCGTGCGTGGGCGTCTGCGTGCGCGCGCCCCTAACGCGCGAAAGCGCGTTATGGCCTTGAATGGCAGAACAGAAACCCTATAATATAGTTCTCTCTTGCATGTAATAATGTTATTGAGTTTTCTTTCTCTCTGACCTTCTACAGAGCTGCAGCTTGTAGCCTTACGAAATTACTGCATTGAGGGTTTGAGTGCGAAGTGTTTGCCGAAGGGACTGGAAAGAGCATATATACCCTCACGGGAATTTTCTTTCCTCTCAAATGTCTGAAAGACGATTACCCCTTTTATGACTCCTGATTTTCAGTTTCTCACCAAAGTGCGATACTAGAAATGCAAAGTGTCACTTGACTGCTATCGTGCTCTGAGATAATACAAAATAAAGTATTCACCCAGGTGTGCCCGAAATATATGCCTGCCCTGCCAGGACACGAATATGAGCCGATTGTGTTCGGACGAGGAAGACTTAAAAAGGTAAAAAACTCATTTGATCTGAGAGTGAAGTGAATAGTCCCGCTCAAACGACAGATATCACGCGGTTACATTCCCGGGTGACATTTAACTCGGTTGCGTTTGCACGACAAAAAAGTTCCCGATGACATTTCCTGAGTGGTGGCCATATTTAACGGGGATGGTAGCATTTAACCGACATCGCGAGCAGGGTTAAAGCTACCCGAGTTAAATGCCATCTGGTCACACACCCCAGTTGCGTTCCCACTATAAAGAGTTACGCGGGTAGTTACGCGTATAGCACTTAACTCGGAGAAGTTCGTACGACAAAGTACATGACAGCATTTAACCTGGTTGCCTTCAGACGGCGTTACGGGGATATACACCCGTGTGGGATGTAACTCGGATAAACCGTTGAAAAATGGGCCAACGATGCGACACTATTGGCAGAAGAGATGTTGGAACCCTAGACCTGATGTTAGCTGCGTGGGTTCACCCTGAGTGCTAACAGTTATCTAAAAAATCTATCACAGGTCCCTATCTTGTGCAGACGATTATCATAATGTACACTATTTATATATTTTACTTCGTATCCACTACTGAATGAGACAATAGAACGCGGCAACCTATGATAGCAGGAGTACACGGGGAGCAATCTCTATTCATGTACTCCTACGCCATGTACTCATATTTAATATCTATTCCTGTACTCCTGATGATAGCCTAGTCCCTAACTGCCTCCATGACGAGGGCAAGCACCGATAATGGCGCTCGTTCGCCGGCTATGTAGCGATTTTCCGGTAATAGCAACCGAACGACTATGGAGCGAAATCTTCATTTATTATAGATTTATCACCGCAGTGATTTCCTATTGACACCAGTTCCCAGTATATAGCGTGCACGTAATTGTGCGTGCGCATCTCTTGCTGCATCTTGAGGCGGTGAGCCCAGCGCAGGTATAGGGGCGTGGCAGCCGTGGGCTACATCCAGCAGTAGCATAATAATATATGGTCCACAAGACGGCAATGCTTTTTCACGCGGATAAGAATTTTACGTTCGAACTTCCTCGATATTCACGCGCAGGCACACGCGCACGCACTCACGCACGCACGCACGCACGCACGCACGCCCTCGCCCGCACACGCACATGCGCACGCACATTTGTCACACTTGGGGTAATGTTGGAACACTGGAAATGTTTTCGACCAGATCTTTTGTGGGTGCGCGTGAAACCTGCTGTGCTCTTAATATACAGTATAACTAATATTATATATCTGCACGCGCATACGAGGCTCTATACAACATAGATATAAACTGTTAATCTTAATACAGTGTAGTCCTTACCCATAAATGTCACTAGCACAAGAAACCCGTAAAATATTATCCAGGCAATCGGGTAGTGGACCGATTCGTAATCGCATCTTTCCCATTCCACGGTCGAGTCCTCGCTACTCTGCAGTTGTCTTCCACGGGATCCTACCGACAGAGATAGGTACAAAACTCATAGAACTTAATAGAATGTGAGATTACTGCCTATATAATGAATAGCAAGTCGATTGGTCGATAGGTGTATGACCCATATATCACTATATTAGAATATATCATAGCAGACAAATATACGTGTAAATATCTATGCATATGCGCGCACACGCGCGCGCGCGCCCGCACGCATGCACACACGCACATACACTCACATAACACATAACATAACATAACATAGCATCAGGAGTCTATCAATAGATCAATATTGATAGACTCCTGATAGCATAGCATAGCATAACATAACATAACATAACACAACATAACATAGCAGTTTGCTATGTTATCCTCACACACACACACACACACACACACACACATACACATACACACGCGCGCGCGCACGTTCGCGACGGATGCACGCTCGCGTTTATCTTACGCTTAGGTATATAGGCGTGTTAGCATATGATCTGATTGAATAATCACAGAGAAGATCATGGAAATTAATTTTGTAATTATTACTGGTTTTGCTATTATTTTTAAATATCAAAAAATGAGATATAGAAAGTGTAGCTCTAGATTATGCGCTTAGAAAATGTGCGTGCACTCGCGCTCGTGCGTATGTGTGCGCACGCGTGTGTGTACGTGTAATTAGGCTCGTTAGTTCGTAGGATGTCAAGAGTATCAGTGATCTATTCATGTGCTCCCGATAGCGTAGTGTAATGCACGCAGTCACGTCCTCAGCGAAGGAGGCGGGGCGCACTTACAGTAGCTGCTGGTCAACGCGCTGATACATTTATCGGAAGTAATTAGTAGGATAAGTATAAGCGTGCGCGTCAGTGACTAATATCACCGACTTTAAATCATCTGCGCATCTGCTCTGATTATGTTAACTCCGTGATGTTAGACCTGACTAATAAGCAGCGAGATCGATCTACCCACGCGCGCACGCACGCTTGTATGTATGTATGTATGTATGTATGTATGTATGTATGTATGTATGTATGTATGTATGTATGTGTAACCGCAAAGATGATAAATTCGTAGCATGAACCTTACTTTGAGCTACGCTACAGATCGCAAGGCGTTAGGTTAAGGTGATTGCTATCATGAGTGACCTGACTGCAATGTGCAGGTAAGCGTAATCGCCGTCATTATTTAGGTAATATCAAGGGTTAATAATGAAAAATTGTCATTATTTGTCATTATTAACCCTTGGTAATAAAAATATTCGTTACACACAAGTGACACAATCATTCTGCCGTCGATCGGAAAGCATCACGAATAAAACGAAGCAAACATGAAGTCACGCCTTTCTGCCCCCTCGTTTCATCCATTGCCAAACATCATTATTCATAGATGAGAGTTAATTTGGGTTATCAATCTTCCTACAGTCATTTGCAGTTATTTATTCTGTGTAGCTAGGATGCAGAGTTCTCACCGGAATCGATTGTTACTAATTAGAAATCTAGCGTAGTAAATTTGAAAAGGATTCATTGTTGTATCAATGTCAAAATCATTGCGGGATGTGCGTCAAAGCGGTCGTGAGATACATTGCTTATTCTCATCATTACCATGTAAATCTAATCGTTTACCGCAGTAATATGATCATGCGAAAGGTGCTGTTGACTACGCTAACAAATTGAATACAATTGGTTTGCCGCTTCATATTTCCTATGACATGAAATCGCCTAACGACCATGACCAGTAGGCGAGAGTATAGTGGGCGTCAACTGCGGACTGTATGAGGAAGAAAAATAATAACTCTCTCCTAACCCTCATTCGTTGCGCTAGTCAGACAGGCATTTTCTTCTATCGCAATGCATTAAAGTACTTCTCCCGACGGGACACGAATTATGAAACGCTAGCTCGTATTATAGTCTGCGGGTGGCATCTGACCGCTATGCACGTGGATCACATGCCTGCTGTTAGCTGTAGGCCATACAACTCTCTCTCTCTCTCTCGCTCTCTCTCTCTCTCTCTCTCTCTCTCTCTTTCTCTCTCTTTCTATCGGTTCCGCACTGTCTGCAAAGAATGCAATACCGCAGAGGCTCGCCGTATATTGTGCATCGCTCATACGGTGCTCGCTGGCACGTAAGCGCTGTTTAGGCAAACTCAATTACAACACGGCGCGCTCCGACGTCTGGTTGCAACTTGAAAAATGCGACACTCGATAGGATTTATTTTCACACAGACACCAGCTTTACATTTACTATGCATACATCGTCAAGTATCCCCGCAGGATTGCGCACTTAGAAGCGTGTATTTTCTGCGGGAATAACTGATACTGAATTAGTAAGATCGCCAATCCGTCAACAAAACTAGCTTTTCCATATTACGGATGGCAATTCAACGTTTAGCCTTTTGGAGCCAATATAAAAAAAAAAAAAAATAAAATATATATATATATATACATGAAGTGTGGATGTGTTCAGTCGGTTTATCATTTGACATAATATATTGTGTGTTGATTTTCTTACCAGGTGTGTCTAAGAGTGATAATATATTAGGAGAACATCCACGGAGGAAGCCTCTTGAAAACACGAAATTCAGCATTTGTTAGTAACTGTTGAATTTTGCGCGTATTTTTTCATTAGAGTTTCATGGCCGTATATTTTATGCTCTCCTGATTATTATATCTAGCAATTCTCTTACTATACAAGCCATCTAAGCTGTGGCGCTAGTCTAGCACACATTATAAGTTAGAGAGCATGATATCTCATATTAGGTATCTCACATCCTCTTTCATCCTTACCGTGGAATTACAATTATACATCTATATACCTGTGTTATATATCTATATATCTGTGTAGCGCATATACCATACACGGTGTGGAGCTAGGTTTAATGACATGCAAGCCTGTCACGCATGCGCTGTATGGACGCCTGTCACCGCATCTCGAATGTACACATGTTCCCGTCACGGCTTAACGACGCTAAAGACAAAGCGACACGGTCACAATCGCCTGCCACGCATTAAACTTTCATACTTTTTTCAAAAGCCCCGAAGTAAGTAAACGGTTGTCCGGGCGCAAGAAACCCGCAGCTGATTATATTTGCGCTGATATCAAGTGGATGGAAGCTCTACTCGACTGTCGCGTAACTACTCGTCGGCGGTTTTTTTTTAGCAGACGGCCGCCTTGACGGCGCGTTTAAAAGTCAAGTCGCCACCTTGAGCAACACTCACGGGCGATGCTTCAAACGCATGTTTGACATCTTATTCTCTCAAACACTCGGAACAATGGAGGGACGCATATATGTATATATATATATAATGCTGGTTAATTAAAAAGACACCTTTCTAAGTACACCCACTAGGCTAAATTCATTGATGCTTCTATTATCTTTTGGACCACCCATTGCGAGACAAACGGGATATAGTAAGCAAGTATATATATATATATATATATACACAGGCCCACACATATGTGTATATATATATATAATGCTGGTTAATTAAAAAGACACCTTTCTAAGTACACCCACTAGGCTAAATTCATTGATGTTTCTATAAGCTTTTGCTCATGCAATGCCAGTAAGTACGCTAACAGCATAATTAATAACGGATAAGGCATTGACACTCTCACCACTGCAGTGACGCCGAAATAGGTCATCATCGCGACACTGAAAATTTGGCGAAGGATCAATAGGAAATTACTCATTAGCAGATCTTAGGCAAGCCTCACGCCTCGCTGAGGCAACGCGACGGATATCTGACGTCGCCGTACGTCATGTGTTTCTGGCGGGCTACATCTTACAAAGTTATCGTGTACTGTCTCGGTGGAGACAGTCTGCGCTTGGCGGCACCTCTTTATAGAGTAGCATCGCCTGTATATCGTTACCGACTGTATGACCTTTCCACTAAAGGGATTCATTTGCAGGGAAGTTAACACTGACTGACCTTGTCTCAAAAACAAACAACGGCCGATCAACTGCGTTTACTGCCTGACTGATAACAAAATCGTCTTTTCTCGCGCAATTTGTCGCTGCGTTCTAAACAGCGTGTCATTCATTGTCGTCAAATTACCCCCCCCCCCGAAGACAATATCTTATTATACGTGCAGCGATACTATTAGATTATTATGGAGGAATGGGGGATGTACATAGCTAGAATACTGCTCGGACAGAATGTTTGTAGCCCAAACGCTTGCATCCGTACTCTTAGTGGATAATAGATAAAACATAAGAGCCATCCAATCAAATGTCTTAATGAAACGTTTGATGTTTACACACTAAACATCTATAAAACGCAATAGAAAATTTCTAATAATTGCACATGAAACAAGATGCACGGGCTTTCCTGACTCAAAGGTACCGAGGCGAGTCAAAACTCATCGGCTATTTGATGTGAGGCGAATTTGAGCCAAAGGCATGTACCATGACATCGCTGTGTAGCACATGCGCAGTGCTAGAACAGGTGGCATGTTCGACTTTGACTTGTTTAACAGTGTGGGCTATTTTGTCAAGCTAGAGTAATGTTTGTAAACAGGCAAATTGTTCGCTGTCGTGGTTATATAAATGATCTAGTTTCATAATTAATATAATATAATATAATATATCATCGTCGTGCTGCTGCTGTTGCTGGTGACTGTAGATGCCGAGTAGTCCGTAGTAAGCAAGCACTACCAGTACGGCCGCAGCGACAGCTCTTCGCATCCAGCTTTGGTTTGCGATCCGAGTTTTGTCGTAGCATAACAGTTTTCCCCAGGCGACGTGTCGTCTTTTTCGATATCCCAGCAGCTGTGCCATTCTGATGAAGGAAAAATTACGACGCAACGCAATTACGACGATATCGGCGCGAAATCGCAACAGCAATCACGGGCCGCCGCGGTGGACGACGTATATATCTCGTATAGATGCAGTCGCCGAAAACTTCCGTCCTATCCGCATTTCCACGAGATATCCTCCCTGCTCTTCTTTGATCGGTAGCAAGTCTCGTCGCTTATATACTAGGAGGCAAGTGTACCCACGATATGGCGATGTTCGTTCGTCG